AACGTACACAGGGGCTCGCATACATCCGTAAATACACAGACATGGAGGAATGAGTATGGGGACAACGTAGCTGAGCAGCTGAGACTGCAGAGTAATGCTGAGCCATAAGCATGAAGGGCACGCTGTGGTCCCGGCCAAACTAGTCACCCTGATTCACAAGCAGAAGCAAGGTGGGCAGACAGTCATTTAACTGTCCCGATGCATTAGTATCATATGAGCAACATGTACTCCATCACTGAAGCACAGTTTGATCAACTAAAACATGCAAAGCCCCCAAACCTTAGTGCAAATACGCAGACGTTTTCATTGTTCTGTCTACGAGGCATTATGTAACATCTGAGATTTCCTGATGAGCGTTTATTGTTGCCTCAGAAACTAAAAGGAAAAAAAAAGTACCCACTCATTTCTCAATGCAGTGTAACAGGCCTAATCTAATGCATCCAAGTGATTCTGCAAATAGTTTATAAAGGAAAGCGGCATGGACAGACGTCACATTGACAGCCTGCACCAGATGCTGGCCAGTTGGCTGGCCCCCCAATCCTCTGAGATACGAGAAACCACGTCTACAGTAAAGACAGCGATGATGGGATTAGCTGTAAGTAATGCAACGCATCCAAATAGGTTATTTTACACAACGCTGTCAACTCGGCTGACATTAAATAATTGAGGTGCTGCTGGCCTGAAGAAGACAACATTACATTGTGAGTGTAGTGTTGAGTGGTACCAAGCTGTAAGCCAGTAATTGGTAACTGAGACAAAGTGCCAGTTGTGAAAATGTGGCTTCATGGTTATATGTACATAAACACACACACCTTATTTCCAGGAAGACGAACATGTTCACAAAGGGAGCTAAGGTTTCAGAGCCGGAGGGCTGGGAGCTAAGAAACCAGTTTTTTTGGGTTTTTTATTTTTTAAATATACTGAATGAACAGCTACACAATGTCCGTGTTCTTCCTTGATGACAGAAGAGGGTTTGGCCTTCTATCCCAAGGAAAATCACCAGGCATGTTTTGTTTTGTTTTATTTAATTTATTATTTATTTATTTTTTATAAATAAAACTATTATCATATATATATTATATATATATTTTTTCTTTTTTTTTTTTTTTTTTTTTAAAAAGTTTGACTTTATGTAGTTTTATTTTACTCACGATCAATGTGACAAAAAAGCAAAACAAAACAAAAAACAGGAAAATGCACAGATGACTTAGGAAAACACCGACTTACTGCAAACCAATTACATTGCATACACCTGTAGTCGCCCTCCAGAGGCCAATTTTGAGCCAGATAAATTAAAAGTTTTATATTGCATTTTTTCTTAGCAGGTATCACCATGAACAAAAAAAATACAGAATTTTCCTCTGCTTTGAAAATGTAAAACTTGTCATGTGTAATGTCTTCAAATTACCAGCTGTATATTTTAGGGGCTTTTCCAAGATCAAAATTTGTCTTTGGCCGGTGAGCATAAGCATGTTTAGAGTCCACACTAGGCCTAACGATTGCTCCAGCTAAGTGATATCAGTCTACTCTCACATTTTACACCAAACTAGTGCAGACCCACACTACTTTGTGGGGGTGTAATTCCTCTTACTTCGGTTGTTTGCCTGTCTGGCTAATGGTGGGTGGCTGCATAGCACCTTAGAGCCAGCAGCTAACTGGTGTTGGACATTAATAAAACACTAATATTTAGTGTAAACCCACTATTATGTGCATTGCTGACTACAAATATATAACAGTATTTAAACACCTGTTTACTGTGAAGTTACAGCCACTCATCTGCATTCAAGAGAGGCACTTCTGTCTGTCAGGGAAGAAGCTAACTACTATCAATTAAAACAAATAGTTTAACCAACTAGCATTTTGAATAGTGAGAGCAGCAACCCTTAGTCATGTAGTCCACTGGTTTGTGCACGCACAAATGGCAAAACCAAAACTTCAAGGCACACCTGTACTCTTATCTGCTGTTCATTCTTTTTTGATATTGTAATGCGGCTTCTAACAGCCCAACCTGTACCTCAACTCCATCCCTGCTTCTGATACTTTAACCCAACTGTCTTATGCCTTCTGGTTCAAATTCAACACTCTTTAACTGGCAGATATTTCGTTTCCAAATGCCTCGTCAGCTAGCTTGACATCATGGTGGCATTAACCAACACCTCACTACAGATGCCACACGTCAGTTGAGCCCTGTTGATATCCCCTCTCACTAAAGTCGCAAGACAGGTAGCTTTCATGTACTGATGCAACAAATGAATTAATACTTAATTGTTGTATATCACAGCAACATATGGTTGTCACAAATCCTGTAGCACACTCATACTTACCAAGAGCACACTACTTGGGAACCACAGGTGTTAACGTTTCTTGAGTTCAATTAATCTATTTATATTTCCACAATCTGTTAAATAATCATGATTTATCTAAAAGAACTGAAATTTGAATGTTTATCTATAATCAATCCAAGGTGAAACCAATTCTTTGTTAAGTTGAAACTTGATAAAATTTCAAGTAATTCAGGCTAAGAGCACTCTGCTGCCCTCAAACACAAAGCTTAACTAGTTGCTCTCAGGTTAAGGTCACATACATGAGTGGAAAAACGACACTTGTTTGCTTAACACATCTCCTGACCTGTAGGCCCTAAGCTTGCTTCAGTATGGTTAACATTGTTAGCCAATGATTGATTAGTGATCTTCTCTGAGCAAAACAACATTTAGAAACGGTCATACACTCACAAGTTCTGATGTGTAATTTACCATACAGGTTAAAATCCAGCGTTTCACAGAGTGGAGGGAAAAAAAAACTGTAAATACGTGTACAGTTTTCCACAGAGACGTGCTTGAATTCACTGAAGAGTTAGTGCTTGTTAAGAGTGACTAAGGCTCCAAGAAGCCGTTGCTGCTTCACAATAAAAGCCTTGTGATGGCTGGTGGCTGGAAAGCTTTCATGGTAAAGCAGCAACAAGACATATCATGTTGGCTATAACAGAAGATTAACTGAAGCAGATGAAGAAAAGATGAAGCCACTGTTGGGAATTTCAGCTGATTATTACATGATGATTGGTCCCCTTTAGAGAAAGAAATCACTGAATGTAATGAGCTCAGTATGAGTCATTTACATCATGTCTAAAGAGCTAACTGAGCCCAACACGTAAACTCAAATAATACCTTAAAGTACTTCAGGTGCTTGGTGAAAAGTGCTTTTGATCATCATTACTTGGGGAAATTCAAGAGATGCCTACATTATAATGAGCCGAGTTAGAGCTAAAAGGAAGGGTTAAGTTGATCCACTAATTTGCCTTGACGGCCTCTAATTAAACCAACCTTTCCATACGGTTTCCTCTGCCTGGCATTTTCACTGACAAGATGCAACTATCAGCTATGAGTTCACAAATAATACAGCCATCTAAAATGTCACAACTTCCCATTTCTATCACCATGACCCTGATGACCTCCTGGCAAACCGTATCCACTACTGAAAACAAAGGAGACTGAATTAAAAAACAACTACAAAAAAACAAAACCCTGTCATAGTATTTTTAAGAACATAACTTTGGGAACCCCCTGCAGACATGACAGCTTTCACTTTCATTACAAACATGCAACTCTGAACTGCCATATTCACCCTTATTACCTAAATGACTACTACTAGTACTACTACTTTATACAGGCATTTTAAAAGGCATTAGAGAACTTCTTATCCTGGGTTTTAACATATCTTATTTAATTTTCAATTTTGCTTAATGCTACTTTCCCCAATTTTCTACCTTATTTTTTTAACACTTTTATTTGTCTTGTTTTATTTTCTCTGGCATTATATTTTATTTGATCTACATTTTTAGTCATTCTCTCTATAGTTGAATCAATTATTTTATTTACATTTATTTTCCCCTTTAATTTTTTAACTTATGTTTTATTTATCTTGCGTATCATATTTATTTAGTTTTCTTAATTGATTTGCTTCTTTTTGTGTTTGAACAAGACAGAAATTGTATAAAGTATATTTATAACTTAATCAACATATTCTCGCCCCCATTGAGCTCTACAGAAAACATTCAAAAACCATTTGCTCCAAAACTGAACCCCTCAGTCATGTATGCTAAGGACACAAGTTTCTTGTTACGTTATGGAGTTATTTAGGTCAAAGGTCTAAAGTCAACACTGGAAAGGATAATAAAAATCAGTGATCTTAACTGCTTTGTTAATAATCTACCCAATCTTCAACAGGCCAGTAACTCCATTAATGCTGCTAACACCACCTGCTCTACCCCCCCACACACACACACACTTTCCCCAAATCTAATGACACAGAAAGACGTTCTCTGATGTGAACTTCCCATGAAGTACATGCACAGGCCACCCTCCCGGCTGAGGGAAACCTGACGTCACAACAGGCAGCATGTTAAAATATAAAACTGACACCTTCTGCAAAAACCACCACCACCCCTGCAGTTCTACGTTCCTACTAGGTTTCAGTTTTAAACCAAAACAGTGACGTGCTCTGTGGGTGCTCACTTTTTCGCCCTGCAAATAAATACAACGCGTGATTTCAGCTCAGGCCCTCTCAGGAGGCAGCAAGTCCATTCGAGCCGGTTCGTTCTCCACCGGATAGCACCCACACAACTACACACGCTCTCTCTCTGGGTGAATCGTACCTCTTACCCCTTCCTGGGGTTTTACCCAACAACTACTGAGGCAGGCTATGTGGTTACAATTGTCACTAGCACCTGGAATGGCATAACAGAAAAACTGTAGCAAGAAACTTTCCCTGGAAATATAGGGACTGAACAACTCCCAGCACCATGAAATGTCAGAGTACTGTGGCTTTACCAAACAGTGCAGCCAAATTTTAAATGAATCCTTCTGTGGAGCTTCTGTATAAAACCTTTTTCCAACATAAGACTTCTTTCCCTCAGTGTTCACCTCCAGTCTTTGAAGGCTCTAACCAGCTGTGTGCTTGTGTACAAACTCCCTGACAGCCTGATGTCTCAGAGGGTGACTTACATTTTGACATGCCGCTGCTCAATGTCCACTCGGGACAGCTCCTCCTCTTCCAGGTCAGAGTCCCCTCCAGAGCTACTCTCTGTTACATCAGAGTCAAAGGCGCTTTCTGCTGAATGAAGGTTGGCTGAGCCACTCAAATACAACCTCTCCAGCTCCAAGGGCATCGAGCCACTTTTCAGGAAACGACTCAGACCATCCCGGTTGTTTGACGAGTGGCGCCCGGTCCTCCATGAAGCTGTGGGGGTTGCAGTCTCTGATTTCCGGTTGCTGCCTAGTAGCCGATTCAAGGCCGTGTCCAAGAAGCCACCCAGCTGCTGCTGAATGTGCCGCTCAACCTGCTTTGCCTGTACCACTTGAAGACGTTTGTGCAGGCGTCGCAGTCGGCTCTCGAGCTCGGCTTGGCGGCTGCTATTGATAAGAGTGCGTTCTCTTACATGAGCGTCGAGGCTATCTGAGGAGGAACCGCAGGGTATGGGAGCTGCAGGCGTACATGGCGGTGAGCCCTGCTGACTGCTGCCTGGCCGCTCTCCATCAGAACCCTGTGGCTGACTCGTAGGGGTATCTGGATCTGCTTCCTCCAAATTTGCCTGTTCAACTGGGTTAGGGTTGCCGCTGGTAAAGGGAGAAAGTGCAGCTGACTGAAGCACTGGTGGTTCGACATTTTGTCCATCTGTGTTTTGAGAAACCCCAGAGGAATGCCTCCGTTTGAGAGCTCCTTTCAAAGGGATGTGCCCTGTTAAGGTCGCCGTCAAGGTCTCAGAGTCAAAGGGCAGGTTCTGGGGCTGAGAGTCGGTGGCGGCGGGAGGCTTGTCGCCATTCACCGCGACCACACAGCCAGAGCTGGACATGGTGGCCAGCTTCTTGGCCAGGCCGTTGACGGGTGCCATGGGCTGGCCGCTTCCGTTGGTGCCGCCACTCATGAGACTTTTGAGCTGGCCGCCCGACAGTTCAATCGCCTGCCTCTTCCTGAGGAAGTCTCCGCTGCCGTTGAGCAGAGAGTTGGGCAGTATTCTGTGGCTTTTCAGCACAGACTGTTTAATGAGGACTCCTTGCAGCTTAATTGACTCCTTAGTTGAAGGGACAGGTGTCACATCCGGGTAAAGATAAGAAGCCACAAGTGGCTGGAGTTTGCCCAGGGCAGAGGCCTGGGACACAGAGTCAGATTGGGCCTGTGGCTGCTGCTGTTCCTGGTTACCGCCTCCGCCACAAAAGTCGAGGGGACACTCTTCGGAGGTGGCCTTGCACTTGGCGGGGCCGCTGCTGTGGATGAGGATGTTGCTGGCGTTACCGTTGTTCTCTGCACTGGCTGGTGAGAGACTCGAGGATGGGGCAGCCAGTTTGAAGCGGATGTGGTGAGCTTCGGCTGGGGCGTCGGTGAGAGCGGGCGCCATCGCAGCCATGCAGTGCAGAGGGACGGGCACCGCGGCCTGCTCCACTCCACCCGCTTACTGCCCCACCTGAGGACAGCCTGCAGGGACAAAAAACAAACCACAGAAAAGAAATAAAAGTTAAGAGTCACCTTATGACCAAAAACCACCCATCATCAAATTCTGATACTATTTCACATGAGGGAGTTGTGTGGTAGATTTCCCATCAGCGCTTAAGAGATAACATTAGTAACCTTATACAGGGATGTGCCTCATCACAACGTGTAAACAAACATACAGATACTACCTATGTTCATTTAAAACTGAAACCAGCAGCTCCATAAGTGTCATTTATATTCATTCATTCAAAATTACTCAGGTGAGGGAACCGTAAGACCTGTTCTTGAAATATGAGAAACCATATTTGATGCAATAAATGCAGTATTTTAGTGACTGTGTTCAGCAACCAAGTATACACAAAAATATGCTTTATTCAAACCACTGCTTGCACAGTGAAATTTCTGTTGTCCACACTTCTTCTTCTATTATGATTATTATTATTGTTATAATAATGATATGAATACAATAATATTATTATTGCAACAATATAACAATAAAAACAACAGTAATAAGAAGAAGAGGGAGAAAAAGACGAACAGTAATATTTTAAATACTTAGACTTTTGTATTCTTTTTTTTTATTACAAAATTACTACAACTGTGTCATACATCAGCCATGATACATCATACCAGCATAAATTTGTATGGTGACATAATAATGTCATCACAATATCATTACTGTAAAACAATATGCTTTTATGTGCAACAAGCCCAGACATGTCTGAGAGCGATGAAGATTTGGTGCCTAAAAGGGAAATATTTCAACAATCTCCAATAAAGTGCGGTACCTTACAAAAAAAAAACGTACAAGAAAATTGTTTACTCTAAAGGTGTAAACAAACGTGTGTCACCACTTCAGGAAAAAATTATAATTAAAATAAATAAACTTTAAAAACAAAAATAAAGAAGGCTATGGAGGAGGGGATACTAGTAGCTCCCAAATGTAAACAAGGGTGGATGGAAATTACTGATCCGGCTACATAGTAGTGAAGGAGGACTTTCAGCAACTGATTAAAAAAGCTCAACCAAAGTTACAAGTTATTAAATATTTTTCAGTTTCATTATGTGATAATATTGTGCAGTTACTGAACTGTTACAGGGTTAAGTTGGTTTAGCTATTGTTAAACAGCAATTTTATACTTAAAATGTCCTGGGGAAAAAGCAAACAAGGCCACATTTGTCTTTTGCTGTGTCACTGGAGATAATGCCGTGTCACTACTACACTATTGCTGCTGTTGGCACTTTATTTCAATAGATTCACACTTCAAATTAGCAATTTCTCATCAATGATATTAGCTCATTAGAAAAGGAGGATGGGCCATGCCCTTCATTTACGTGTACCCACAAGCTTCAAGAATCAAACATGAATAAAGAATTCAGTATTTTCAAGATTATCAAGATTTAATGCTGAGGTTATATCAACCACCCCTAATATGTACAATGGTTTTCTTCACAAGATGGTTAGAAATACTGGGAGAATGTATTTTTTTTTGTCAAACAAGGCAACAGGAAAAAGCATAAACTCCTTGTGTTTACTGTACACCGACTAATCTTGCTGATGTTGGTAGTATCCCCACCCCCTCACCCAGCCCCTCTGTTAGCCAGGAAAAATCCATGTTTCATCCATATACTTAAAAAATATATATATTCTCCATAATAATTGTATATCATGATGGGAAAAACATGAATGCAGACTGTGCCTGTATACAACAAAACATTAAACAGAAATACTTGCTGTACAGGTTCTGTAAGACTGTACAATGAGTGGAAAATTACTAACCACCACCCCAAAATAAAGTTTTTTGCCTTAAATGTTTATTAAAATATGTTCAATATAAATGTACTATATAAAAGTGGAAACTCCATGACATTGACTCTTTGACATGTTGCTGACCTGTGAACTGCTAAAGAAGAAAACATGAGCAAAGTTGAAGGGTAAGAAAATCCCGGGCAAAAGTGTTTTCAGTCTCTTAAAATACAATCGTTCACTCCAGAACCATTCTTTGGCTGTCACTGAAATCAACAATAATTTGTCAACAGAGGGACCCACAACATCCGGTAAGTACAAAGAAATTAAAATGCACACACTGACCTTGGGGCTGGTGATGCTAAAGACAAAGATGGAATAAACAGACAACTGAGCTAAATCCCAGGCTAATAAATTATTATTCCCACTCCACCCATGCCTGTGTGAACAAGCCTTCATTGTCTTTAACTTAACAAAGCTGCTCTTTAAAGATTACGCTTTGGAAGACATCTTTTTATGAGAGAGGAACAGGAAAAGCCAATGCAAATTGCCCCAAACCCCACTGCCCTACATGTGCCCTGGTAAGTCAGTATGCAGCAGGGTTTCTTACAGTAAGTAGGTGGATTTAGGCCCCAGCATTAGCCCAAAGCACATGATGTCATCCTGACTGGATTCTTGTTTAATTTTCAGCTATTACACCTTTCCCTAAATTATTACCCAATTACATCTGTCAGTAAATTATTCAAATTTAAAGAAAACCTTAAGGACGTCAAACGTGCCAAGTATCTCTTGTATCTATGTTAAACTTTTAGATAAAAACCCTCCCTTCTCACAATTCAGCAGATAAAAAGCGAGCTGCATGTACGCTGTAGCGTCTGCAGGGCGAGATGAATGGAGGCGGCTCTCAGTATTTTCACCGCAGTTTCTAGTCAGCGCGCACTACGCCATGTTGGTATTTCCGAAGCAGATTATGCAATGCAATTCATCCACCTTAAAAAAAACAAAAAAAAAAAAACGCCCATTCCGCTTTAAACACACTGAGCGAGTTCATGCAACACGCTGAGCATAGAACAGGGGGTAATTTAAATAACCAACCCTACGGACCGACTGCACCATTTGTGAGCCTCTGTAGAGATGCGACAAAAATAATGTCCACATCCAACGTTTAGCCAAGCATAACGCAATCACCAAAATGTCTTCCTGATGTTTACAAAAGCGTTTTGAGAGCACACGGCTATAATAGTCTATTCATAGCCTTGAAGCCACCGAAGAGCAGAGCGATTGTAGCATCGAGACGTGGCTGAATATCTTAAGAAAACATACACGCGAGCAGGAGATCACGCAGCAGGGAAACTCGGCAGATAAATATCTCCTCCGTGGAGCCTGTCACTTCAGACACACTGTGTGCAAATTAACGCTGCTGATGCAAGAAACACAACCTGCCCGCAAGCTTAGCCTCCAGCTGCAGTGAAAAGCTGCCCATCCGCGACACATTAGATCTTTTATTTTGAAGCTCTCTCTTCAATATCTCGGCCGTAAACTTTGAGCTAACCCAGTTAGGCACGTAAACATTTCCAGCCTGCGTAACCTGTGCGCACCGCCCGGGCTGATAGTTTGAGGCGCATAAACGCCCAGCACTGACATGTATTATGAGAGCATAAATAACGAAACGGAGAATTAGCGTGAGAATGAATCCTGGCCTCTTGTTAGCATCTGACCATCCCCAGAACTTATTTTAAAACGCGCTGGGAGCGAAATGCAGGGTGCAGACATGGTTTGCATTGTAATTAGACCTACAGGAACAAATGCGAGGCAGCCCTGTTGTTTTTACATTTAAATCTACAGCGGTCCTCATTCAGTTCGCCAAACAAATGGGGCTCAAATGTGTCAAAAGCGGAGAAGTTGGGGGTAGACCCAGCCAAGTCTAGCTAGCTCGCTAACAAAGAAAAAGGAGGAACCTACCACGTGACGAGGTTGCACTATCCGAGGGAATTTCGGCAACAATCCCCTGCAGTTTCTGGTGGAAAAAATCCAAGGGTGCTAACACGCACACACACGCACAAAATGTGGCGCGTTGACTCGATCACTCAGCCATCAATTAATATCCATAAAAATAATAAATGCAACCAGAGAGCGGAGGAAAAGGGGCCCGGGTCCACAGCGCAGAGCCGCTCGGGTTCGTTCCGGATACAGCAATGGGCGAATCAACGAGCTACACCTTACTCGCCAGCTAGCCTCGCCGAATATAAGGGCAAGGCCGCGAAACCGTCCTTTCTACTCCAAATTACTTCAAACGTAGGCGATTTCACGGCAATCCTTTACCGAAAAGTCCGATTCCCGGTGAGGAAGAGGTAATCCAGACGGCAGTTTGCCGCGAGCCGTTTTCTCTCGTTTTAGGGAGAGACGCTTAGAAAATGGCGGCTAGCTCCTCTCCCTCGGATTTGACTCTGACAAACATAGAAGTGCTGCGCGCGCGCGTGAGTGTGTGCGTATGTGCTAGAGCTGGTAGGCGGGAGACGTTTCTCATAGTCACCACTAGAGTAAAGGGCAGATAAGAAACGACATAAAAGCTCAAAAGAAGATCCCACAGGAGGGCATTGTCTTCCAAAAAAGATACCAGCGGACACACACTTTTATTTTCTTGCTGTACTGGTTCCGCGACCGCTGCTGTTTCTGGTTAAACACGCCATATCTATGGTCCTACTCCAACGGTACACACAGAAAATACCCCTTATGCTTCAAAGACCACCTGTGCGCTAAATATTTACGCGGAAAATCAACAATAACTAACAGGAACGAGGACTACAGCCGGGATCTGCTCCCCTAAGCAGCTATTTTTTGGAAGAATTTGTGCAAACAGAGCCTGCGCCTCTTGTCACTTTTTAACAGGAACAGGATCGCCCACAAACACCACACTACACTACACACAACAAGCTTCATGACGAGGTGCAGCCAGCGGCCACATGAAGGAGCTCTTCTCCACAGTGCTGCGTGTAATAAAATAATAAAAGCCTCACGCTGTGCCCAAACATAGCGCCAACTACCTCCAAACAAGAACAAACTAAGCTAAAACTATAAGGGAATCAATTTAACTCATCAGTCTTAAATGTTTATGTTTAGTGTCAAGTGTTACTGGCCGCATGAAGGAGATCTTCCCCACAGAGCCGCGTGTAAACCTTCATATTGTGAAAAAAACAGCGCCAACTATGTCCGAACAGGCATAAATGAAACAAAACTCAGTTAATGAATATGTCATTCTTAGCAAAATGTTAGGTCAACAAGAAATAAAGTTTCTAAAAAGTTTGTGTATTTTAACCCTATTTATTATAATTTTATTATTTATTAATATATTTATTATAAATATCTACAGTGTTAATTAGATTATTATTACTATGCATTATAATGATTTATTATAATGCATTCTAGTGGCAGATATTTTATTTTTCACCATCTAATTTGAGCAATTTATGACCAGAAAGTTCTGTACTGAGCCACAATACATATTTAATCCTTATAATGAAGGCGACACAGCCTGTTAAGTATCAATTAGTCTGACAACATTATAAAAACGTACTTTCTATGGCATGTTTTAAAACACTTACTTACAAATCAGCATTTTCTTTAGAACGGTCTCATGTTTTTGTTGCATTTATACTGCTATCTTTTTTTATTAGCCCAAAACAAAACTGCAGGATAAAATATATACAAGCATGTTTAAGGCTAAAAAAGTTGCTATAATATACTCTGACTCCTACCTGTGTTTCTGTGAAATTTTTCAATTGTTGCCTAATAGATTTAAAAAAAGAGACCTTTTATTAAAAGTTTTTAATAAAAAGTGACGTTTTCATTTTATTTTGACTGATGTCCAGATGCAGATGAAGCATTTGGGAGGGCCTGGATCACAGGAAGTCTTTGTTATTATAGACAAACCTCTTATTACTTTGTATTATGGAAAACCGATTCTGAGGGGATCAGACCAAAACAAATGTTCACATCTGACTGATTTTTAATGAAAAGATCATCATGTGGATGGGTGACAAATTAAAGGAAAAATGCAAATCCCTGACCTCAGTAATGAGGGGGGATGTGGTTGCTGGGAAGTTGTAAAGGGGAGTGGGGACTAACAGAGTTATCATCTTATTGTAAGATAAAGTCAGTCTTATCAGTGTTTTGTATCCATGCAATGTTTTAAGTTCAAATGCTATGAGTTCTTTTTTAGGCCTCAAAATTGGCCTTTGGAGGGCGACCTCACATGCAAGCATGACTGGCCCACATTTAGTAGGAATTTTCCTACAAATAACAAAATACTGACACCCACCAAAGAGCTTCTGTTTTTTAAAGAAGATTTTTGCAGAGGTCTAATGAACTCGAGCTTGTTTCTTAAATGGCCATACATAACATAACAAAGACTACTTCCCTTAGCTAAATGTGCATCAGTCATGCTTACGGGTGTAGTCAAACCCAACAGAGGCCCCTTCTGAACTAGGAAAAACCCTCTGCATTACCTTAATTAGTGATACTCAAGCCCCCCTTTTTAAAATAGTATTTTTATTGTATTTTATTTTTTATTATTTTGCCTTTAAAAATTGTTTTTTTAAAAATTGGATAGTGAAGAAAGACGTGTCAGCAGTTTGGACTCGAACCCAGGCCACTGTTTTCTGCTTTCAAAAGCTTTTGCAATTTAAGGTAAGATTTAAACAGGTATATACCTGATCAAATAAGTAAACAAATTTCCCCACCTGTGGGACTAAAGGTTTATCTTATCTCATCTAACAAATTGTACTTCCTTCTTCTTGACCTAATTTTGCATATTGCACAATTTCAATAGACCTCAATACTCGAAATGTGCAATTCATTCACTTGTATTTTTATTTTTTATTCCTATTTATTCTATTTATCCCCTTCGTATACTTTATTTATATTGTCTCTGTATTTATATATGTGTGTGTGTGTGTGTGTATATATATATAATATTCTGTAACTCTGAAACTTCTGTCGGTGCTGTGCTTTTTGGAAATCGAATTTCCCAGAGGAACCCACCCGAGGGATTAATAAAGTTCTATCTAATCTAATCTAATCTAATTCTTTTCATTTTTATTTTTAAGAGATGAAGTAGCAGCTGGGTTGAAGGCTAGCTTATTGGCTACTATTTGCAGCGATGCTGACTGACATCCACATCAATGGAAAAATAAACAATTAATATTTGCCACGGAACAGCTTGTTTCTAAACATTTACATTGTCATTTTGATTTTTTTCCCAGGCTTAATTGTGTCTAAATTGTATTGAGGCTACACACTGAGATATCATTTATCTATTTTTGACTGATAAACCTGAACATCATGTAGCTTCAAATTAATTGAATTTTTGTTTATCATATGAAGGTATTTTAAGCACGGCTCTAGCACAGTGAGTATGTTAACCTAATTTTCTTGGATGGACTTCAAGTTACATTAGGCACAACTTTAATTGAAAAATATGCCCTGTGTTTTGTTGAAATTGTTTAAAAAGTAATATCAGATTCAAGTTTCTCTTTCAAACACTATTTATGGGTTTTATTTTTTATTTTTTGCTAAGGGAGGCTACATTTCTGCAGCTACTCGCCCATCACTAGATGATCATACTGTTACTCCAGTGTCTCTTGCTTGTCTGGTTTATCTTCTTTGACATTTAAATAAACAACTTTTAATAACATCCTGTGCACTAGAAGATAATCCTATAAACGACTCGTTGCACACTGACAGCCATTTTCCCACACTAAAAGAGAAATTCAACGTAGTTCTCTACTGAGAAGTGTTTTCGTCTAGAAACGGGTACAAACCCGAGCTGACATGTTTACAAAGTTACATTATATCCTCTCTTGTCTCACTACCATTTAGGCCCACTATTAAATGAAAATGGAAAAAAATATGTGATTTTAGATTGATTCAGTACCTCTGATCTCCTGATGCTTGTTAAGTATTAAAAATGAATGCACCCCACTTATTCTAACAGGTCTTGCATGGCCTCTGAGCATAATCAGACTACCAGAAAGGACATGGACATAAACACTTCATTATCTGTGTGTGTGGAAATCAGAGGGAGGAAGAAAGCGCTTTACACAACCTGTCATCCACACACTGGTGATTGCAGCTACATTGCAGCCACAGCCACCCTGGGGCGCACTGACAGAGGCGAGGCTGCCGGACAGCTGCCCTCTGACCACCACGAGTAGGCAACGGGTGAAGTGTCTTGCCCAAGGACACAACGACAGAGACTGTCCAAGCCGGGGCTCGAACCGGCAACCTTCCGATTACAAGGCAAACTCCCAACTCTTGAGCCACTCCCAACTCTTGTACAGTGAAGCAGGGGTATACTTCCATTTAACTCTTGCAAATTACTTTAATAAAATAAAGAAATATACCTTGTCATTTCTTAAGAGAAAAAAACGTTGTTGGCTTCAATCTCTGATCATTTCTGGATTTTCTTTTCTTTTATATTAAAGACTATCATTTTCAAAAATGTTTGTTGTTTTTATAAGAATATTACACTTTTTACAAACATAACTTTTTCAGTGAACCAGTCTTGTCGCTAGTTTCATTTCTGAGAATTTCTGCATTTTTTTTCTTGAAAATTTGATTGCCATTTCTTATTGATTTACCACAGTAACTTTTAAAAGTGTGATTTTCACCTCCTAATATTACTTCTTTCCTTTTGTTGTTGCTTTGTATTAACCTAAAATGACCCCCGCAGGTCTTCATGGGACGTGAACGAAAAACATCACAGAAACAAAACAAACCGATTTGTGACTGTTATAACTGGCAAATACCCATCCATCCATTTGCTCTTGCTCCAGGTTACAGCTGATGCAAAGATGTCTCAACTTCCTTGTGCTCCTCCTAGGTGATCCCTTCAGACTTCAAGGATATGTAATCCATCCCACTTGACCAAAATACATCCACAGGGACATGTCCACAGAGTATGCTAATCAGATGCTCTTCACACGGGTGCTCAAAATCCAGACTACTTATATCCCTGATGTGATCTTTTCTCCAAGGCCATTGGGTGGCTGCAGCACCCCCTGGCTTTAAAATAAAGATAAATGCATATAACAATTATACCTTTAACTCCATTGTCGATGAACTCCAATCAATAATCCATGGGATCATTTTCCCAGTTTCCACACATGAAAATATGACACCTAAAATGAAACAAATAAAATAAAAAATAAGATTACTTGAATCATATTTAAAATTTTCAGACAATACATTTAACTATGATGGCGTAGTAGGAAAAGATAGAGGGTTAGGTGATGCGCAAGCCTGTAACTCTTGTGGAATTTTTTGTTTGTACATGTTGCAAGTTACAGATATATAAGCTACTATCAGCTGCTCCCCTTAATTCACAAGGCCCTTGTTGGACCATGTTGTTGATTTGGCAGATTTTACTTTTTATTTTACTTCAGTTCTTATGCTGATTGCCAATCCTGATGCTATAGAGAAAGAAAATTCGAACGGGCAAAAACAATTACATGAGTGAATCGATATCAGCACATTACACTAACTAAAAAAATTGTAAATTTACAAGAAAAAAAAAGGGGGGGGGGGGCAAATTTTTGAGGAAAAAAATAGCAAACTTTGGAAAATTGCCCAGTGGAAAATGGAAAGAACAACCCTTGAATTTAGGGGCAATTTAACATAAAGAACAGCTAATTTACATGACAAACGTGGGGCTAATTTCTGAGAAAACGAATGCAAATTAAAGAAGGGAAAAAAGGAATATATACAAATAAAATTTATAGCAAATTTAAGTGGAAAAAAACGCAAAATTAGGGTTAATTGCAAATCTGGCACAATTAAAAAATGTAACAAACAAACAAAACTGAAAAATAAAAACAATGCCAGGGTTATATGAAAAACGAGGCGCAGTGTACGTAAAAAATAAATAAATATAAAATTGGCACTGTATGAGAGCGAAGCGGGACGTCAGTATACATGACGTTTTTCCAGTGCTGTACACTGTTGAGGGTCCGTGCACTCCTCCCACCGCTTGCTGCACGTAGACCTGCGCTGCAGCGTAGTGAAAATGAGTTTGTCGCTTGTTGTCTGCCTTAACAACATACTTGGAAAGAGGTGTTGTTGGTCTTTTATTACAAGGAGTTCACATTTCTGATTTTCTTTCAAACTTAATGTTCAAAAGTGAAGCAAAGTCACTCATTGGCTACAAATAAACACTATTTCTCCTATTTTTCTCGTTAATGCGCGACTTTAATCTCGGAATTTCAGCGTTTTTTCTGAATTATACCCTCTTCGCCCGCCCCCCTATT